GGCATCTACAGGGAATTGGTCCCAGGAACATACTAACCCTCCAGTGCTGAGAGCCCTTGAGGAGTATGGTGAGGGGTTTGCAAACAACCCTCCCTTGTCCTCTTATAACTTTTACTCTCTCTAGATTGCACTGCAGCTAATAGAAATGAAAGGCTATGAAAATGGTCAGTGCCCAGTGTTGTTTAGGGGACAATGCTAAGAAAAAGCTCTGCATAAGTTTGATGTTGATGTATTTATGTTTTTAGATGGGGCCACAGCATGGAATCTTATGCAGCAATTAACTAAAAAGCCTCAGATCATAACAATGGTGTAAGTTAAACTTGTCAAGTTAATGCTAGACAAAAACAAGTGTAAACTCTACTGTCTAATTGATATAATAATGTTAACTTATACACAGTGTTGAGGAAGAAAAGTAAATATAAGGAAATGTGACAGAGCTAGGGCCTATGTGTGGCAGCATTCCTGCTGGGCTACACCTGGTCCAGCTCCAGAGTGCTAGTACCTAGCTTTATCCATCTTTTGCTAGCAATTAATTTTTTTGTTTCTCTTGTTGCCCTCTGTCTGAGAATTTCCCGTGGGAACAAAGCCTATGCAAAACTTGTTTAGAAGGAAACCCTGAAAACTGTGGTTCGTCCTGAATCAGGTAATTTCTTTTGCATCATCTCTTTAGAGGCCCAGTCAGGATGTTTTGAGGATATGGACATGTACTTGCTAGACGAAAATTGAAGAACAATAAAGGAGCCCTGGGCAAAGGGAAAACAGTCATTCCTGAAGGCTGAGTCCTGAAGGGTTAGTCCTGAATGTTGAGTATTGATGGATCAGTCTTGTAGGTTCTCTAGAGAGACTGACCCACCCTGTAGCCAAGAAAGGCTAAATTCATTCTTAAGGCTTCTCTGAGTCTTCATTTCACAGACCCATGTGAACCCACACTCCTGAGCTGTGACATTCACAACACCTATGAGTTTCACTTATGTAGCTGTATAGATCGTAGCTCAAGCTAATGATTAAGAGAAACAGTTGTGTCCCAGGAGCCAGGCTGGCTCAATTCCTTTTATGTTGATGCTAAAATACACAGTCTCAAGTTTTTGTGTGCATCATTAGCTAAAACAAACATTTAAAACAATTTCAGGTTAAATCATATGTTTTGATAACAGCCTTATGATGAAAAGCCCCAGAAAACAATATTATGTTCACAAAGGCACAGATCTGAGTTGCAGATTCACTGGGTTAGGGTAAAGAACACAAGGCAGCCCAACTGTTGCTGGCTGACACACTTTCCTGGCTAGGGTTGGTTGGTGATCAAAGGTGGTGGTTAACTCCTTATACTCATTGCTGCATCGATGTCCTGAGAAACTATTGATGGGTGGGTATGCACCCTAAAGATTTAAAGTACAACTGACTAGTTGTCACGCATAAAAGTTTAGGTTTGTGATTCCTTTAATATTCCTTATAAAATCGTCCATCAAGATAAATAGTAGAACAATTGCTGCTTCCTTTGTAATCACAACGTGTAGCCTGCAAACAAGAGTTGGCTGACATAAAATACTTCCTGCTTGCTTGTGTTCTGTTAATCTAACAAGTTACTTAGATGTAAATGTAAGTGGGATACCAGAACTTTGTTTTTAATCATGCAAAGGCAATAAAAACCATGATTTGATCTAAATTTCTTATAAGCATTCAATTGAAATATGGAATGTAACCACATTGTGATTCATATACTGCCTGAGAAGTTTTCTGGGTTATATAAGCCATAGAAAAAGGTATACAGTAGACAGAAGACAAGAAGAATAGAGAATAAAGAAGGAAACCATTGAGAGAGTGTGTGTGTCTTTCTCCCTAGCACCCTTGGATAGATAAATCTTAGGTCATGCAAATGCCATGGATTCATTTGGACCACTGTGCTTTGGGACACTGGTCCCCCAGGTAGCAATAATAGAGTTTGTTTATTAAAAAAAAATAAGTGTTATGTGACAGAATGCTGGCAATTTCTAATCTTATTAGTAGCTTTGATGGTTCACCTCATTTTTGTGTCTCTACTACTGGCCAAAAAAATGTCATCATTAAGACTCAGTCTTTGTAACAAACACACCATGATTAAAGCCCACAAAATCATCTTACATCAACACAGATGCCTAGTAAAAAATCTCAGCTTTCTGAGCCACCAGAAAAAAATTTTAAGAAACATTCCAGAGGGTTTGTCAGCTACACATGGGTTTGGACTTATGGAGCTGACACAGCCTTTAGCAGCTGTATTTGAGTCAGGCTCCAGGCTCATCCACCACACACTTGAGAGAGCCAAGCTGGTTGTGTCTGGGGTTCACCACAGGATATCACCACCACTTGACATCCAAAGGCATCTGTCTGGACTAGCTGCTCTTTCCTCTTGCTATTCCATGTGCTATGCCTTCATTGATGCTCTGCTGTTGATTTAGCCCCCAATATGGATGTGTTGAGAAGTGTCAGAGCCCTTGGGAGCTGGAACCTAGTGAGAGGCACTGGGTCTTTGCAGATAATCCATACATTATGTTAATGCTGATCTCACAGAGAGGACTGGGTTCTCAGAGAATAGATTATTATTAAACAAAGGCACTCCACATGATTAGCCTCTTGTGAATGTGACAGGTTTTCCTGCATTGTGACACATAAGAAGTTTTCTCACTAGAAATTGGAAGAATGGACTGCTTGATCTTAGACTGCCACACTGCACAATTTTGAGTAGGATAAACCTTTAGTTTATAAAGAACTCATCCTCTGTAATTTTTTGGTAGCAACAGAAAAGAGATAAAGACATATAGAGATTTTTCTCTTGCCTGCTTAGTTCTTACCATCTTTGGCTCACACCAAGCCAGTTCATTTTAATGACCTACCGATTCAATGCCTGCCTCTCCCCTGTCACACTGAGACCTCATCCACCTGGCTCTACTTTTTCCCTAGTACCAGTTGCTGCTCAGGAATGACTTCTTTTCTGAATCTTTCATCATTCTAGAATGTCGCTGTGATTTGTTCGAGTCCTGCCTCTTATGTAAGTCTCTTTGAACTCTCAACGAATCTTAAAATTTTTATTGATGCGGGATTCCCCTCTGTATGTTGTGAATACCATTGGTTAATAAAGAAACTGTCTTAAGCCTGTGATAAGATAGAACAGATCTAGGTGGGGAAAACTAAAACTGAATTCTGGGAGGAAGAAGGCAGAGTTAGGGAGAAGCCATGGAGCCTCCAGAGACAGATGCTGGGAACTTTAGCCGGTAAGCCACAGCCTCATGGCGATACCCAGATTACTAGAAATGGGTTAAACTAAGATGGAAGAGTTAACCAACAAGAAGTTATACCTAATGGGCTAAGCAGTTATTTAAATAATACAGTTTCTGTGTGATTATTTTGGGGCTGAGCAGCCAGGAACCAACAAGCAGCTTTTTCCTACACCTTATTGTTTTGCTTGTATCCAATATCACCCAGATGAGCAGATAACTTGCGTAGTTGAATTTTATGAGTTTATTCTACAATCTACAAACAGACTCTTGTCTCCTGACAATTAAGGAAGTCAGCTCAGCTCCGAGATTGCCACATACATTGGATTGTGGATTTGAACAGTTCTTTAAGGAGTTCTGTAAAGGTTAGGAATTTTCTTCCCAGAGCACATTGCCAACCCCTGGTAACCTTGTTTGCAGGACATGATGACTGTCCCTGCAGGGAAAAGATGTAGCATGTCGTGCTATCATGACAGGATGTCACCAGCCCTCTCTGTGAGTCTCTGGGCAGTTAAGTATGCTGGGGGAAATGCTAAAAGTAGAAAAGCTTCAGTGATGTAGCTGTTCATAAGTTGCTCACCTTCTGGTCAATTGCCCCCACATGCACACTCACTCATGCAACCATAGTTACCTCCAAATAAGAAGGGCCTTCAGAAACAGAGAAGTGGAGTGGACAATCAGAAATGAATGAATTGTATTTTTCAAAGAATGAAAATTAATCCCAGCACTCAGAAAGCAGAGGTAGGTGGATCTTGATGAGTTTTAGTCTCTCTACAGAGTGAGTTTCAGAACAGCCAGGACTGTTTCACAGAGGAACCCTGTCTCACAAAAAAACAAACAAACAAACAAACAAACAAAAAAAAACAGAAAGAAAAAAAAAGAAAATAACAACAACAAAGCAAACCAAATAATAAAGAATAAACCAAATAAGCAAACAAACATAAAGAATAAAATATGATGTTAACTTGACCTTTCCAACATATGGGAAGCCCGTTTTTAAAACATTTGCGCCTAGGTGTAAATCCAGCATGTGAGATGTTAACTCAGAAACAACATTAGCCTGAGAAATGAAGATAATCTTGTCTTAAAACAATAAAAAATGATAAACAAATGAATACGCTATTGGACCAAGTGGGTGATATATTAAAAACCAAGGGTGTAGCAAGAGTTGGGATTGCTGTCACTAAATTAGAACTCTAAATGGAAAGTGGAGCCAAAGATGCTTAGTGATTATTAATAAACAAGTGGTAATTGGACATGAAATCTCTCATGTGAAGACTGGTAAAGATGGTGCCATGATTGGTTCCTTGAATGGTCCTTGTGTTTATAACTGATAAGCACTCCCTTCCTACCCTACCTCCTGACCTGCCTCTCATCCCCTGTGTTCCTGAATACAGCAGGCTAATCCCTTGTGTTGGCAGAAGAAAACCTGATATATGGATGCCTATGACATTTTTCTTTCTCTTTTGTAACAAAGGAACATCAGATAGGAAAACTGTAAGCTCTTGGAGCACACCATGGCACCCCAATACCCTTCACACTCCAAGAACAGAGTATCACACTGTCCAACAGCGAGGACACACCTGTCAACATGAGCACCATCCACCACCAACCAGCACCTCACCTTTCACTCAGCAGCCTTCCCACCTGAACCTACTGCCTGGAAGGAGTTTCTTCTTCACCCAAATGAGTGATCTTCAGGAGCAAACATGGGGCTAATCCCATATGGCAAAAGTTGTGGGCATGTCTTACCTGAATAAAGGAGTAGAGGAAGCCTCTTCTGTCCATCTGAAGGAGGTTTCCCAAGAGGGGCAGGGGACGGGGTCCTGGTGGAAGG